GGAGGAGACAGCCGGACTCACAGCCGGCAGGGAGCTGGGGAGGGGACCTCACACCCATCCCAGCTGATTTCAGGGGAACCTTCAGAGAGCAAATATCGAGGGTCCAGCCTGCGGCGGGACGGTTGTGATCAACGCTGGGTGGAGCAGCCCACGGCCCAGGCTGGGCAGCGTAGGAGCAGCTGCTGGGAACTTTGGAGACCACAGATCTCTTTATTGCTCGAACATATCCTGTCACTTGTGAGCATTTATAGACATTTTTTAAATCACAAAAGGAAGTCATACTTGTTAAGACTTTTGGAGCAAGATCAGGATAGACCGAAGACAAAGCAGAAGTCTCCAGGACACCTCCTCCCATCACTTCCCTATTCCATCCCTATGGAAGCCACTCTGAGCACTCGGGCTGTCTCTTTCCAGACGTTCTCTGTGCTGGACCACTTGAGTCTTGCCACAACTCCATGAGAGGAGCAGGTCGGATCGTGTAGTTGCCAGTTTGCAGGTGAGGACAGGGGCCCGAGGAAGTCAGAGTCTGTCCCCGGGTCTTGCTTGCCCGGCGAGCAGGCGGCGGAGCTAAGGAGCAGCTGCGTCATCCCAGGCCTCACTGTTGCGCTGGCCCCTGGGACCAGCTGTCCTAATGAGTGGCCATGATTTCTTGTCCCCAAGCAGATCATCTTCTCCCACAAGCAGAAAACTGGGGACCTCATTTCAGGCAGTAAACAAGCCAGAGTGTCTGGCTCAGGAGGGCTCAGCTCTCCTGTCCTCCCAGGGAGGAAGGACAGGACCAGAGCTGGGGAGTCTTCCCAGATTCAGATGGGGGGGCTGGGAGAGGACAGGGGGACAGCAGTGTCTCCAGGCTGAGGAAGACGGCCAGTGGGCCTCCCTTAGCAGGTCCCACTCCACGTCAACGCTGTCTTAGCTTTGGTGTTGACTGACATCTTCATTTGTCCCAGAAACCAGAGAACACGTTGGAGGGCAAGGTGTTCAGACCCGACAATCGCAGAACAAGACAAGATGAATTCCCACTCCACCTTTGGAAGAAATTGTTATGTGCAGTTTCTGGCAAGTTATTGGACCTGAAGGAAAACACAAAACATGGTGCAAAGGGATAAGTAGTATCTTGCAGGACAAGTCAGAAGCGTTGCTGCCATTTTGCTGTCAAAGTACAACTATAACTTGGCCTTGCAAACTCGAGGAGAACTTTCATCAGTCCCTGAGTCTCTTTATAAACACCAGCTCCACGGCGAGTGGAAGAACGTTGCTTCCTTCATACTCCTCAGGAAAAATGCACTCTGCTCCCAGGAAGGAGGGGACTGGCTGCCTTTTGAGTTTTCTATAAAACCAGCATTTCTCCCTCCCTCAAACCTACCCAAATGTTCTTCTACCTGGAACTCTGAATGTCAGAGTCCCATTTCAAAGAAAACATAGAAGAAAATCTTCATGACCTGGGGCCGGGCTGATGTCTTAGGCATGACACCAAAAGCACAATACATAAAAGTGAAAAAAAAAAATGAGAAACTGGATGCTGTGGTTTGAATGTGTCTCCCAAAGCTCACGTGTTGGAACTTGACCCCCAGCGCAGCGGTGTGTAGAAACAGGGCCTTCAAGAGGTGATAAGGTCACGAGGGCTCTGCCTTCTAGATGGACTCATGCTGTTTCCCCAGGAGTGAGTGAGTTAGTATATTTCAGGAGTGGGTTCCTGACACAGGGTGAGTTCAGCCCCCTTCCCCTCTCTCGCCCTTCTGCCATGTTACGACACAGCAAGGAGACCCTCACCAGATGCGGCCCCTTGACCTTGGACTTCCCAGCCTTCAGAACCATGAGCCAAATACATTTCCATTCTTTATAAATTATTGAGTCTGTGCTATTCTGTTATAGCAGCACGACATAGACTAAGACGCTGTGCATCGTCAAAATCGAAAACTTTTGCTCCGAAGAAAGACACTGCTAAGAGAACGGAAAGACAAACAATGAATCGAGAGAAGATACAAACCACATATTCTACAATAAAAGTGTCCATAATATATAAAGAATTCTCAAATTTCAGCAGTATGAAAACAACCCAATTCAAAAATGAGCAAAAAGCTTGAACAGACGCTTTATCAAAGAGGAGGCACAGACGGCAAAGTAGCCTGTGGAAGATGTTCCGCATCATTAGCCACTAAGGAAACGCAAATTAAAGGCATGAAGAGACACCACCGCTACACACCCATTATGACGGCTAAAATGGAAAAGACCGAAAACATCAAGCCCTGATATGAAGCGCCTAGAACCCTCACGTATTGGTGGTGGGCACGCAAAATGGTCCTGTCACTCTGGAGGACAGTTGCCTGCAGCGATAAACATACACTCACCACGTGACTCACCAGTCTCGGCTCTGCGCATTCCCAGACGAGCGCTCCATGCTATTGCCACTGTGGGCCAGATGTTCCTTGTCGCGGGGCTGCCTTGTGCACTGCAGGGTGTTCAGCAGAGCCCCTGACCTCTGCCCACTAGACGCCCGCTGCACTTCTGCCCTGTGACAATCAAAAGTGTCTCAAGTCATTGCCAAATTCCCCCCAGGGGGCCAAAATGGTCTCCGGTTGAGAACCACTGCCCCAGAGAAAAGATAACTTTTGTTCACACAAAACCCTTTTGTACACATATCTATGGCAGCTCTATTCATAATCACCAACCCAGATGCCCTTCTCCTAATGAATGGGCAAACAAAGGTGGCGCACCCGCCCCACCCGTGCAATGGAATACTACTCAGGAATAAAGAGAAATGGACTGCTGACACGCACAGCACCTGAGATGAATCTCACAGGCATTAGGCCGAGTGCAAAAAGCCAGTCAAAAGGTTATAGACTGTGTAGTTTTATTTCTATGACAATCGCAAAAAGACAGAACTATGGGGACAAAGAACACGTCGGTGTTGCCAGGCAGGGGCTAGGGGTGGGGGAAGGGTGTGGCTCCCCAAAGGGGACAATTGAGGGAGTTTTAGGGTGACAGAACTATCCCGCATCCTGATTGTGGTGGTGCTCCTGTGAATCTAAACACCAACACAAAAAAAGTCCATTTCACCAATCTCACTAATGTTGATTTTAAGAAGTAAATAAGAACAAGGAAGGGGAAGCTAGTTCAGAAGGACCTGGGCTCTTATTGGGACTCATTTTCTTTCTCTAAAGGATGATTTCTAGCCAAAGGCTTAGTGTTCAAACCCTACCTAGAGAAGGAAAGGGAGGAAAAGTCTTGTCATTTATTAACCTTTTCCCACCCTCGCCTGTTTCTGGTTGACTGTAAGTCCAGAGAAAACAAATATTTGGATAGTTAAGTCATGGTGGGGGGGGGGTCTCTCCTCCCGGAGGGCCACATCCGTCCCCTGCTCCCTGCGCCCACTGAGACCCAGCTCCGGAAGGAGAAGCCAGGGCAGGAATAAGAGAAGGGAAGGAGAAAAGATCCCCCCGCCACCCCTGCCCAGGCCGACGGCACAGCACAGAACACATGCCGGAGACGCAAAACACTTTTCTTCTTGATTTGGACAGGAGTCCTAGGAAGTGACAGCCAGGGCCGCAGCCCACGGTGGGGTCCTCTTAGAGGCAAAGCTGGGCGCTTGTACTTCCGGGCTACTGACTTCTCGGCCCTGCCTGCAAACGCCCCCACGACGTGGGGCTCCCAACGCCCCACGACAGCGCTGGGACCGGGCACCATCGCTGCTCCTGCCCCACAGACAGAGCAACTGGGCATTGGCCTGTCTTGGCCCATCCAGGCTCCTGTAACACGATGCCTCAGAGTGGGGCATTTATGAACATCAGAGATTCTCTGCTCACAGTCCTGGAGACTGGGAGACCCAAGACCAGGGTGCCGCAGGTGCGGGGCTGGGGAGGGCCTGCTTCTGTCCTGCCGGTCCTCACGTGGTGGAGGGGTGGACAGACTCCCTCAGGCCGCCTCATAAGAGCACCGGCCACCTCCCAAAGCCCCAACCTCTTAATTCCATCACACTGGAGATTATGCTTCAACACACGGATTTGGGGCTGTGTGTGACACATCCAGGCCACAGCAAAGCCCAATAAGCAACCCCCCCAAAGGTCACCCAGAGAGGATGTAGCTGGCCCAGAACTTGATGACATCCTCTGGCAGCGGGTGCCCGAACCAGAGCCCCGCGGCCTGGGTCATGTTCTAGGTGGGAATGGGGACAGCAGTGGCCTGAGCCCCCAGGACTCCCCGGCCACAGGGTGAGGCAGGAATAGAAGGCATGCGACACGGAGCCCCGAAACCTAGATGCAAGCCCTGGCTCAGCCACTGCCTGTGTGACTTGCAAGAAGTCACTGCACCTCTCTGAGACTAACAGATGGGCCGGAGGATTGATGTGGCAACACGGATGGAAAGTTTGTAAAATATCACAGGTAATGTGAATGTAAAATGCAATGATCTCTCCCCTCTGCCACCTCGTTCTGTCCTAGAACCTGCTTGTCCCTCAATGTTTTATGGAGCTAGCATGCACCTATTTTTGTTTGTTTGTTTGTTTTGAGACAGAGTCTCACTTTGTTGCCCAGGCTAGAGTGAGAGCCGTGGCATCAGCCTAGCCCACAGCAACCTCAAACTCCTGGGCTGAAGCAATCCTCCTGCCTCAGCCTCCCAAGTAGCTGGGACTACAGGCATGCGCCACCATGCCTGGCTAATTTTTTCTATATATTTTTAGTTGACCAACTAAATTCTATTTTTAGTAGAAACGGGGTCTCGATCTTGCTCAGGCTGGTCTTGAACTCCTGACCTCGACCGATCTGCCCGCCTCGCCCTCCCAGTGTGCTAGGATTACAGGTATGAGCTACTGCACCAGGCCTGACATTCACCTATTTTAAACTGTGGGGTTTTTTTTTTTTTTTAATAAGTAACATGTTCACATACTTCAAAAAAAATTGTTTTTTTTTTTTTTTTTTTTTAAGAGACGGGATCTCACTGTGTTGCCCAGGCTGGAATGCAGTGGTTATTCACAGGTATGATCATAACTCACCATAACCTTGGACTCCTGGGCTCAAGTGATCCTTCTGCCTCAGCCTCCTGAGTAGCTGGGATTGTAGGCCTGCTACAGGCTGACATAGTTCAAAATTTTAAAGTCACAAAAAAGTATATAATGAAAATGCTTGCCCCAGTTTCTTGGGTATTCATCCAGAGACAACCTTTAGCACACACAAGCAGACAGGCATAGGCATTGTTTTCTCTGTTGTCCTCTTTTACCCAGGTGGGAGTGCGCCCTTTCATCCGTTCATCAGGAATTGAAGCCAGCTCTTCCGCTCCTTGGTTTGGTTGTTTTGTTTTCCCACTTCACGGTGTCTCTAGCATATGGCTCCCTATTCCTACATCAACGGTTCTGGCTCTTTGTTCTCTCCACCGTCTTCCATCACATGGCCACACCGTAAGTGTGGGACCGGTCCCTACGGAGGGCACCTCCAACCCTTCGTCATTCTTACAAACAACGCCACCGAGGTCATGTCACAAATGTGCACGCATAGCTGGACTTTAGGTTTCTAGAAGCAGAATTGCTGGGTCAAAGAATGTGTGCCTTGAGTAGGTATTGCCAAAGTGCCCTCCGGGGAGGCTGTATCGGTTTACAGTCCCTCTGGCAAAGCGTGAGGGTGACTTTGCTCGCCCGTGCCAGGCAAGTGTGTCCTCACCGCTCTCATCCTTGCCAGTCTGCTCGGTGGAACACTCCGGCGCAGTTTTGATTTGCGATCTCTCATCCTCAGTGAGGCTGAGCATCTTGTCAGCTACGGCTGGCCCTCGTCCTCTCCCCACACCGCCCGAGGCCATGGCCTTGCCCATCACCGGCTCTGCAAGACCGGGGCCTAGATTTGTGTTTCTATCTTCCGGCTTCTCGCTGAGTCACTCCCAAGAAGGACAGGGCGGCAGGGTCAGGTTATTTCTGCCCGAGTCATCTGAGCTGCCGGTCCTGGGAAGCCTTTGGCCTCTGGCTTTCTCCGTGGGTGCCCAGAACCTGTGCCTTGCACCTGTCAGACCCAGGCTTCCTGGTCCCCTGCGAGAGACGGGGGCTTGCAAGTAGGGATCAGGTGAGACACATTTGCAAACCAGGCATAGAGAGGCCCCAGCTGGGTTGGGAGCAGGAAGATTTGGAAGGAAGGGAGGAATGAGCAGAGTCCCGAGCTGGAAGGGAGGAGGAACTTGGAGGTGAGAGGAAGCAGGCTGAATGGAGAGAAGGGTTTCAGAGGTTGCAGCAGACTTTGGGCAGGGAGGGTGGTGGGCCACAGCGGAGGGAGGGGAAGTTGGGACAGGTCCTCATGGAAATTATGTGGCGTGCACATGGCATTACCCACCCTTGGCTGGTGGCTCATTGCCACTCAGGGCTAGTGCTAAGAGCCACCTACAGTTGGACGTAGACGTGTCCCCTTGGCTGTGCGTGGAGGATTCGGGCCACTCGTGTGACCAGTGAGAGGTCTGGAGAGGCCCCATGGCCCACACTGACCCTCTCTGAGCAGGGTCTTGGCAGCTGAGGGGTGGCTCACGTCGGCTTGCTGTAATCTAACCTCACTGCTGCCCCGTGTGTCTGGCTGAGTCTTGCTCAGGGAAAGACAAGAGAGGCCAGGAGGAGCCAGTGGCTGGATTCCTGGGCCCCTGGGGAATCTGTAGCCTGTTATTTCCTGACTCAAACAAAAAGCAAATTTGCACTGGAAATTGCTGAGGCAGAGTCATCCCGAGCCCCTCGAAGGAGGAGGCCTTGTAATTTTCTAACCTCCAGGGCACCTGCCCACAGAGGAGCGGGGCCTTTGCGTCTGTGGGCAGTGGAGCTCCCGGGCCCGTTCTAGGCTCAACCATCGTCCGCAGTGGAGCCTCTGCTCTCCCCTCTGCCAGCGCCGGCCATCGGAGCTAGACTTCAGAGGTGGGCAGGGGGGAGAGGCCCCTGTAGCTTGGGGGTCAGTCTGTCCCGGGCTCCCCGGGCTGCCGTGTCAGAGGGAGGGTGGGCTCCTGCCGACCTTTACACCAGCCAAGAACGGGGGCGCTGCTGGCCCTGCAGGAGCGTGGGCGGGGGCCGGTGGCCGGGGTGGGCTGCCTGCCCGCAGTGAGCACCTCAGCGTCTTCTCAAGGCCACGTTACAGAGCAGAGTTTTCCAGAACAGCAGCTACCTCGCTCTGCTCCCCCACCCTCAGCCTCCCTGGGGGAAAAGTATGAAAAGTTGAGGTTGTCCCCGAGGCCACCAAGAAATGTTTAATTGCTTGCCGAGAGAATTGTCACCTCCTTCTGGTTTCCTCCCCCCTCCACCTCTTCCCCGCCCACCGGAGGCTCTTGCTTGGGGAGTTGGGGCTGAAGACAGGCCACTCCCTGGCCGTGTCCCAAAGTAACCAGGAGCCTGCACCGCACAGCGGCTTCTCCAAATATATTGCTGCACCACCTTTGCCGGAAAAAAAGAACCCTATGTTTTTGGGGAATAAATGTGCGTTTTGCTGTGAGCCAGGCGCTCGCTGACAGCAGATGGATGGTGGCCCAGGCCAGCTGAGTCAGCCAGACTTCAGAGCAAGCAGACAGTGTGGACCAAGACGGGCATGGGAGCCAGCCAGGGAAAGTGAAATACTGGGATACTTGAAGGTTTTCCTCCCAGGACTTTAGTCAGCACCTTGTGCAACTTGACTTAGGTTGGGGGCCAAATAGAGGGATGTGTATTTCGAGGGGTAGGCAGAAAATCAGCTACAGATTGACCCCCAAATGTATAGTCATTCACATACCTTAGGAGTTTATTTCTAATTCACATAACAGACCCGGGCAGGCATTCCTGATTGGCCGGCGGCTTTCGTCCACGTGGTGATGCAGGGACCCAGGCTCTCTCCATCCCCGGGCTCTGCCCTTCTCTGCTGGGGTCTCACTGCCATGCACCCCCAGCCGGCAGAAGAGGAAGGAACGTGTGTAGGAAGCACCCCTGCCCTTCATGGCCTCTGCTCAGAAGGGGTGCACATCTCTTCTGCTCACAATCGTCAGGGGAACTTGTCACATGGACACACCTGGTGGCAAGGGCAGCTGAGAGATGTCGTCTCTGCTCTGCAGTGGCAACTCAGCACTAGCAAAGGGGAGTGGGAACTTCGTGGAGAGCTAACCATCTCTGCCACGTGGCCTAGATCAAGACATTTGGATCATGGGGACCGAGAGAGAGAGTAACCCACTCTGAGTTTTAGGGACTAGCTAGAAGAATAGTCCGGACCTTACACTAGGGTGTCCTGCCTGGATAATTTGCTAGAAAGGATTTTGCTTTTGCCAAAGATTGGAAGAGCCAATAGCTTCCAAGCTGGGCAGAAATATGGGGCCACGTTAAAAGAGAAGACATCTTATAAGAAACCTGGATAATTAGGCCTAGCAAGCTGTGCTATTCATGTAAGTGATCTGTTTATGCACAGTTTGTGCCCAAACGTCCCAGCCGGAGCACAGGACCTTGGGTCTCTGGCAGAGGCAGGGTGGCTAGAGATTTGGATGCCTGTGTATGGAGGAGGGGCACAGCCCCAGCCCAGAGAGAGGCTGCCACTCCAAAGTTGTGGGTGAAATCAGAACGCTGTCTTTCCCTACTGGCCCGGGGTCACCATACATGCCCTGGAACCTTCACTGTGCAGACACCTGTTCTAGGTATTATTGCCGCGTAACAAATCACTGCGAACATAGCAGCTTAAAACAACACCCCTTTATTAAGATCACAGTTCTGTAGGCTAGAAGTCTGGGCCAGGCATCCCTGGGTCCCTGCGTGGTGCATCACAAGGCCAAAATCAAGGTGTCGGTTGGCCTGACTTCTCATCTGGAGGCACTAGGGCAGAATCTACTTCCAAGTTCACTTAGGTTGTGGATAGAACCCAGTGCCATGTGGTTGTAGGAATGAATTCTCTGCTTCCTTGCTGGCAGTGGGCTGGGGGTCTCTCTGAGCTCCTAGAAGCAGCTCTCAGTCCTTTCCACATAGCCCCCACCCCCAGTCTTTAAAGCTGGTGATGGCACGTCCACTTCGTCCTGTGTTCAAATCTCTCTGACTTCCCTTCTGCTATCAGAGAAACTCTCTGCTTCTGATGGGCTCCTGTGATTGGATCAGCTCTGCTCAGATAATCACTCTACTTACAGATCAACTGATTAGTAAGTAACCTTATTTATACTGCAAACCCCTTTTGCCATATAATATAATATTATCAAGGGAGTAGCACCCAGGGACCCAGAGATCTTGGAGGCCATCTAAGAATTCTGTGTTCCACAGTGCCTGAGGCTGACTTTGGAGCCAAAGAGACTTGTTGTTTTCTGGCCAAGGAGCCGCCCCACCAGGTTCCACCCAACCGTGGTAGGGTCAGGTGACCAGCGGGCCTGGCCCCAGCTCTTGCCATATACACGGGAGGTCTAGGAACAGAGAGGAAATGGCCCGTCCCCGCGCAAGCTCCTTTCTTTAATCAAAAGACAAAATTAGGACATTTATTTTAAAGATCTTAACTGGCTTTTATTTGGGATTCTAGACTTGGGCAATAAACCTCGTTCTATGCAATAGAATGAGTGTTCAGATGAGCTGGGAAGAGGAGTTTGGCTTTGAAAGTGGAAAAAGAATGAACAGCAGATTTCAAAGTTATGTTCCCTGCAAAGGTTAGAGCAGAGGGGACCTCTTTATCAAGCCCGCTAAAACAGGCCTGTTTGGGGATTTGGCTATTATCTCTTACTCTCCTGATTTCTTGGAATGTGAGATAAACACCTAAGTTTCAGCTCAGCGACATGGAACTTCATTCAGCCTAAGTGCCTCCATGTTGGTCTGGTCCGCTGGGCCCAGTGCAGGTGCTCAGCCCACACCAATGCCCTCCGGCATTTTATTTAACACTCTCAAAGTCTCACAGAGACAAGACCTCCCCGAGGAGGGGCTCCGACTGCGGAGCACTCGGAACGCAGAAGAAACACAGCCCCGCCCTGCCAACAGGGAGCTCACCCACTAACGGCCCCAGCCTGCCCCCGACACTCGCCCACCTCTGAACCCAGGTCTTGTGCCCTGAAAAGAGCCCCAGAGCTCTCCAGTCTCCCCACCCTCTTGCCTTCCCCCAACCTCCTCACCCCTTCTTAGGGAAGAGCAGGCCTGGGCACAGTGGCCTCAGGTCCTGGCAGCTTCCTGGGCACCCAGATGGTGCCCAGCCAAGAAAGGCAGCTCGTCAAGTGTGTCCCGCAGGTGGCCCGACCTTGGGGAGGGCAGGGGAGAGAGAGAGGAGCAGGAGGGCCCTGCTCAAGGGGCACCCTGCAGCCACATCTCAGCCTGGCCTCTCGCCTGCCTGCTGGCTCCCAGAGTCCTTGAGGGTCTGCTCTTAACACATTCCAGGGCGTTCCTCAACGTGCTTGTAGCACCTTTCAATGCCTGTTCTTTGTGGCAAGGCCAAGTGGGGAGCCTCCATGACCGCCCCCACCCCTGTCCTCTCCCCTGCAGTTACACAAGAGTGCAGCACCTGCAGCAAAACCACTAAAAATGTTTTCTTAGCTGCACGGCCCCTCCCGGGGCCCCACAGCACAGAAAGACCCTTTGTGCAGGTCCCTTCTCCTCCAGCCTGGGAGCTGATGTCTCAGCTCTCCCCTCAGACTCAGCCTTGGCCTTCCCCCTTGTTGGCCAGCTTTAGGTCCTAGAGGATGTGAAGAGGGGCCCCCTCTTTGCAGTCAAAGCCTTAATTCAAAGCTCCCACGTGAAGCCATCTGTCTGGTCTTGTGGCTTTTCCTTGCCCCTGGGGTGCCATGGCTGGCGGTAAGAGGCATGGCTGGACTCTGCAGGCACAAGGGGCGTGGGTGCAGAGAGCCCCCGTAGCGCTCGAATCCAGGGCCAGGGCAGTGACCGCAGGGCCAGCCGGATGGGATTTAGTGCAGCAAGGCCGTGAGATTGGCGCACCTGGTTGTACCTGCCCTTTCTTGCGTTCAAAGCCAAAAGGAAAGTATCCGGCGACTTGCTAGACTGCCGGTTGTCATTCATGCATCCTGCACGTGTGTATTAAGAGTGTGGATAACGATGTCCATCTCTCAGGCACCAAGTTAGGTGCTGGGAGCACCACAATGGCCAACCCGGCAGCTAGGCTGGGCCACGGTCGGGGCTGCATGGGAAGGTCCCGAGGGCTGGCCGTGCTGAGGAGTCAGGGGTCATCCTGGGGCGAGGGGAAGCCACTGGAGGGCTTTGCCAGTGACAGGGCCAGGGTTCTGGCCACAGAGAGAGGAGACAGCCTGGAGCAGAGGGGCCGGGACTGCTGCTGGAGTCCCGAGGGACGACCGAGGCCTGTGGACCAGGCTCCCCGCCCCCCATAGTGCCAACAATCCACTGTTGATTCTAGAGGAGAACAAGGAGTGCCCTTTGCCAAATCTGATTTGGTACCAAGCAACCCTGTCAAAGAAGAGGTTTGTCTTCAAGCCCTGTTTTTGCATTTTCTTGTCCTGTCTCCTCTAAGCCCTCTGGCTTCCAAACAGGCTACAGCTGCCCTTTCTCCCTGGGACTCCATCCTCTCCACCTCCCTCTCCTCCTCTCCTGCCCACCCACGTGACGTTTTCCCCCTTAGCTTTCAGAGCCCAAGCCCGCTGCCGGCCTCCTTTCTGGAGCAAAGAAGGAAGAGAAGTGCGGAGGGCCCTGGATGTCTGGGGGCGGTGGGGGCCATGGCTGTCCTGCTGACTCACACTCCCAGGTATCACATGGTGTAAAACCAGGAGGCTGACAGGAAAGTCCCCAGGCTCCCAGGTTGGCTGAGTCTTTATCAGATTGGGGCCACACCCCCTGTCGATGGCCTGGGGAGGTTCAACCCCAGGAAGCAGCACCAGGCCCTGGAAAAGTCAATAGCCACACCTGTTGCCCGCCAGAAACCTCTTTTCTCTGTGGGTGTGGCCCTTACACCCTAGGTGACAGGGAACTGAGGCCGGAGGGGGAGTCATGCAGCCCACCCACACTGCGGCCACTTTCAGAATCTATTTCTTTGGCTTCTTTCTTTCCACAGGATCAAGGAGCCACCTACACCCACCTGACCAGCGTCACCCAAGGGAGCCAGCCTGAATCTGGCCTCTCTTGGGCTCAAAAGAATCCGGATCACAATAGGTAGGGTTAGATTACTTGGGCCAGCGCCTCCCTTTGCAGATGTAGAAACTAGGGCTTGGGGAAGGATGGTGGCCTAGGGCCATGAGGCCTGTCCAGGACACGGTAGGACTGACAGCCAGGACACCTGACCTCCCCTCCAGCCGCCACTGTTCTCCCCACACTGCAAATCCCCTCCACTGTGTAATCACGTAACACAGTCTCCCTCCCCACCTGGTGGGACCCTCGGCAGCTCCTGTGGGGGTTCACCATGGACTACTCTTCCTCACTCAGTGAGACCCAACCGCAATCCCCAATCCACCAGTTACAGCGATGGAACCCACCAGGGTGGAAGGCGCACGGCCCTCCCCCCTCTGGAGGCCGGGTCCCTCCTGGCCCAACGGGCCCAGACCCCGGGTTCTCAGCCTGTGTTTGCAGGTTCCAAACAAAGGGCTGAGATTGTTGCAGGAATCCAGAGGAGGTAGCCAAGAGCTTGGCTGTTCTAATTACAGGGGTCCCTTCAGCCAGGACCCCTACTCTCTTCTTGCATTCCTGCCTGGTTCCCTCTTTGACATCATAAAACTCAGTCTTCATTTGTTCAGTAAATAGTTATTGAGAATGTGCTTGAAGTACGTTTAAGAGTAAGTAAGGGTGGGAGGTAAGGCGGGAAAAATGAATCAGACAAGAGCCTTGACTGCCACAGACCAGGATGTGGTCGAAAAGCAAAGAAGTGTGCACGACACCAGTGGGCTCCTGCCCACGCTCTGAAACTGACTCACTCTGGACCTTGCTAAATCAGCTCACCTTTCTGATTCTTAGCTTGCTTGCCTGAAAAACTGGGATGACACTCGTGGCTGTTGGTGAGAGACTGACTGTGCAAATGGACAATGGCCAGACCAGATATAAAAATAGAGCTCTGACCCACAATCCGAGGCAACCGGCCCGGGAAGCCAGCCTGCTGTCCACACGTCAGACCACCAGCTCTAACGACCGGTCCAGAAAGCCAGACGTGGCCCGACGTGACCAGGACTTGATTTGTAACGGACTGTGTCCCTAATTCTTGCCCCTGCTTCCGACTTGTCCTCATTTCCAAGAAAAAGCCAAGCATGTTCCCCCTTACCAGTCCCACAGGACACCCCACTTCTAGTTAGCTGCCTCCTGTCCATCAAGACACATGTCCTCTGCCTGCCTCTGAGTCCCTCCCAAACACAGGCGGCGGTGGCTGCCCCCCTGGGACAGCGAGCCCTGGGTAATAGCCGTTGCGTGCTCTCATTTGGGTGGTCTTCATTTATTTCCACATTGGGGTTAGAGGATTCAGAGAATGTGGAAGAGTTGGTTAAAGAGTCCAGAACTCTAGAAATGTCAGGCGGAAAGGTCCAAGGTCAGTACCAGAGGAGGCATTCAGAGAAGGGCAGCAGCCAGGGACTGACGTCACCTGAGCTCGCACATGGACGGCAGAGAGCCCTGCGGGACAGGCCCCTGCACCTGCACTCCGAGTGCCAGTCATGGCAAAGGTGCAAGTGGGAGAAGGAGAGGGTGGGGCCTGGCTACCGGGGACCACCAGGGCTGCCTCTCTGTGCTCATTTCAACCATCCTGTCCCTTCAGACCACTTCTGGGTGCATGTCCAGAGCCTGGAGGGACACCTCTGAAATCCCTAGCCCAGGGCTATGCCCCCAAGGGCACAAGATAACCACAGGGCAGGGGGAGCTGAAGCCTCAGTTTACGTTGTGCTGGAGCCCAGGGCATGACACATCAAGGGTCTTGTAGAGGAACTATGTCACAACGTAGGGTAGCATCCTCTTCTCCCTCCATGCCTTGTTCACAATCTTCCTTCTCCCTGGAAGTGTTCCAGGGACCACAGAGGGTGTGAGCATCCCCTCCCTCTGACTCTGCATCTCTCCAAACTCAGTGTACCCTGCAGAGGTGTCAGGTGCCCCTCCATTCTAGCCTCGCCTTCTCTTGCTTGGGTGGCCTCCTAAGGGGTCTCCAGCCTCCTGACTTATCCATTCCCTATAATACCACCAGCAGGATCTTTCTAGAACACAACCAGGAGCTCAGCGTGCTGTAGGAATGCCTTCGTGTCAGCACCGCCACCTTTCCAACTTATCTTCCAACACCCCCTCTCAGCGAAGGGCCCCACCCACACCAGAGACTCTCTGTCTGTTTTTACCTAACTCCAGGCCTGAGACTATGGGGCATGAGCTCGCGTGTGCTTGGACACGCAGAGGACGGACTTCCGCTGGTCCCTGCCTTCTAGGTGCAGGCTCTGCCAACACTGGCATCTCCCTCCGCCTCCGCACACAGGACCCAGACACACAGACTGGACTCCAATCTGCCTCGCTACTAACTGGGTGTGCTCTTTGGGCAAATTGCTTAAGTGCTCAGGCCGTCTACAAAAGTGACATAACAATCCCTGCCTTGCAGGGCCCTTGTGGGAATTCAGTGAGGCTGGTGTGTGTAAAACACTGAGCCCTGTGCCCGGCACGAGGGAAACGCCCGGAAGACACTGCTGGTTACTGTTCTTCTTGGTGCTTCATGCCCTTCCAGCCAACTCTGTTTCTGCCTCTTCTACTCTCAACTTAGGCTTAGGCGCCTCATCAGAAACTGAGTTGGTAACAGAAGTGACCATAGATCCCCGTCTAGCCCAACCTCCACACTTTACAAACAAGATAACTGAGACCCGGAGATTAGAAATGGCTTCTCAAGGTCACCTGGCACCTTGGTGCTGCCAGGGGGCTGGGACCCCTGTGCTCTTTGCATGCTCTTTGCATCACATTGCAGAGCGGCTCACATATACTTATTGCCTTACTTTTATTTTCTCTAGAAATAACATCAGGTCAAATGCTGTCCTCGCAGTTTGCAGGCGCTGGGAGGCGGCCCCTGGGGAAGGGGTTAGGGTGAGCTGCCTCCCTGAAGGTTCATGACACAGAAAGTTCTAAAAGGGCGATGCCCCCTGATTAGGGGAATCAAAATAGACTAACACTGGGATGGGCTGGCGTGCCTTGGTGGCCAGCGACCGCTGGATTGCTCCTGGAAGGGCCTGCCGCTCACCCTGCAAGCTGAATCTGTGCCAGCTGCAGGGGTCCCCACCTGGAGGCGCAGGTACCCCAAGGTCTCAGCGGGGGGTGTGGCTGGAATGCACAGAGTCAGGGAAATGAAGTCCAGGAGAAGCGGGAGGCTCCCTGGATCTGGATGAACTTCTACTCTATCGCCTGGGAGGAAGGTGCTGTGGGATTCGCCAGTGAGGCCCAGCCCTCTGTCCTGGCCCCTGGGGACAAGCCCTGGGGCTGAAAAGCCGAGATTTGCAGAATTATCCTCAGGTCTTGGGGAAGGTGCTGACACTCCTGTTAAACAAACAAAGCATCTTCCTATGAATGAACACCCTGAGGTCCCGGGAGATGGAGGAATTGGAACAAGGTGGTTCACATGTTTCCCCTTAACATAAAAATCCGCCCCGCCTGGTTCTCAGATCAGCCCCACCTGGTTCCCAGGCGGTGCTGGCTCCTGGGGGCAGGGCCCTTGGCAGTGCTCTCAAGGGGGGGTGCAACAGGCCTGCCTGCCCGTGTCTCCACTGGCCACGGCAGTGCTGCCCACTGGAGGCGCAGCTCAGAGGTGGGGCATGGGGCACCGGGACAGACGCAGCCTGCAGGCACATTACTCCCTGGCCTGGGGTCCCTCCCTTTCAGGAGGTGGTTGGAGCTTTCCAGGCATCATTAAGTGCTCTGTTCCAGCCCTCTTTCCCACAATCCTTCCATGTCCCTGGGAGACAGGTCACTCTGTCCTCCTCCCACGGGTGAGAACCCCCTGCCCACGGGGTGCAAGTCCTTTCCAAGAGCACAGCCTTCCGCTTAAAGCCAGCTCACGCACCCCCCTTCCCTCGTCTAGCTGGTCCCCCCTCCACCATCCCCAACCCGCCCCCCAGGAGAGGTGTGGTAAATCGGGACCGCGGTGCCAGGGCATCTTGGCGTCCACTCCTGCCCTGCCAACCTGCTAAATACACATCTCAGAGGAGTTGGGGATGGAACCGCCTCAGATGTCATTAACTCCTCTGCCTCCAGCAGCCGGGAGAGGGCGCAGGTGGGAGGGGCCTGGCGAGCCGGTGGGAGGGGCCTGGTGAGCCGGTGGGAGGGGCCTGGCGAGCCGGTGGGAGGGGCCTGGTGAGCCGGTGGGAGGGGCACCTGCGACTGGAAGGAGCCCCTGCCCAGGGGCAGCTCAGGAAGACAGGGGCCTGGGGCTCAGAGATGGGGCTGGCCTCCCTGCCCCCACCCGCCCACCTCACTGTCCAAAGGAGGAAACCGAGTCAGAGGAGGGCAAGTGGGGCTCCGTTACTCAAATCGCATGGCAGGCATCTGGTGAAGTCAGGCCCTCACCCACTTTCTCCAGAAAGAGCTGAAAGAAGAACTCATCTCGCCTTCCATGAGAAGTGAGGGAGGCTGGGCAGGCAGCCACCTCCTCCCCAGGGTGGGCCCCCTTTCAGGCCCTTGAGTGCGCAGGCCTCGGACAGAGGGGCCGGCGAGTACCTCCCACCTCCCACCTTCCCCTCTTCCCTGAGCGGTGGCACCCCAGCAAGGCCCCCAGACCTAGGCCTGTTTGCATGGCTGCCCCCCAAATGGTGCAGAGGCTCACCGGACCCCACAAACTGGGGAGGGGGCAGCAGACCGGTGAGGGCTGGGGCTGGAGTAAGGACACAGGATTCTCCCTCCCGCTTGTGACAAGAGGGAGGAGGTCAGCTCCAGCTGTGACATCTCCAGGAACCACCGCTGCTCCCGCCTTGCCGTGGGCTGTGGCAGTCCCCCTGCCCCAATACCTTCCTGGCCCCTTTCCCCGTCCTGCCGGGCGGAGCCGCTGCTGCCAAGGCTCACAGTAGCTTGGAGGGCAGGATGCCCATGTGGCTGCCATGGACAGGAACCACCGACCTGGGGGATGGGGCAGGCGGGAGCCAGACGCCGACTGAGCCCCAGGGGCTCTGGACCCAGGCAGGCCAAGCTCCCCAGAGTGGGGAGGCCAGCTGGAAGGGCCGGCCATACCCTGCCAGTGAGTGGTAGGGGGAGGAGTGATGAAAGGAACCTTCAGTCGGGCCATGCTCAGGACGCCACCGGAATGATCTGAGAAAACTGCAGGGAGCTGCAGCGCCCAGGGCTGGCCAACCCAGCGTGGCAGATGTGGCTTCAGGGCAGAGGAGAGTGACAAGGGGTACGGCTGAGGTCTCCCACCCACCTACTCCACGCTGGCTGTGGGCCCCCGGGGCAGGCAGGGATTCTTTGTAAGAACTTGGATCATCCTATAAATCTGGCCTAAAGATCCGCCCTCCAGTCCCGGGCTGACCGTCCACACAGCTGGTCCTGCAGTGCCCCCTGCTGTCTGAGATGGCAGGGACAGGCGTAAGACCCTCCTAGGAGCTCACGCTGCCCTCGCCAACAAGGAGGCTGGATTTCCAAGACACCCCCATGTCAAAGGCTGTCCTGTGGTCCTTGCCAGCACCCACCCAGCTCAGTGTTTACTTTTTTGTTTTTTTGAGACAGAGTCTCACTCTGTTGCCCGGGCTAGAGTGCCGTGGCGTCAGCCTAGCTCACAGCAGCCTCACACTCCTGGGCTCAAGAGTGCTAGGATTACAGGCATGAGCCACTGGGGTCGACCAAGAAACCTTTTCTGAATGAAAAGATACCATCAGTGTGGAAGGTGTATAGTGGACTCAGGGAAGTGTCTTAAAGAAAGAAACTGCCCTCGGATACGTCCCCCCCCCCCATTCATATGTTGGAGACCCAACCACTGGTACCTTAAAATGTGACTGTGTTTGGAGATGGGGCCTTCAAAGAGGTGCAAGAAAACAAATTTCTGTTATTTACGCACCCCCGGTCTGCAGTATTCTGTTATGGCAGCCCTAGAAAACCAATATACATAGAGTCCAGGAAATAATTTATCCACCAACTTTCAAACCGGCAAAGATCACATAAGGCTGGGGAAGAAATGAAAGACACGTGACAAATAACCATCCTTAAATGTTAACGAAAGATTAACGATAGTATGATGGGCTGGCAAAACAGACAGTATGTAGTGGGAATTGTAAATAAACCTAGAATTTCAAAAGGGCCAGGTGCGGTAGCTCACGCCTGTAATCCTAACACTCTGGGAAACTGAGGCAGGAGAATTGCTTGAGTTCAGGTGTGTGAGACCACCCTGAGCAAGAGTGAGACCCTGTCTCTACTAAAAATAGGACAAAAAAATTAGCCAGGCAACTAAAAGTAGAAAAAAATTAGCCAGGCATAGTGGCGAGTGCCTGTAGTCCCAGCTACCTGGGAGGCTGAGGCAGGAGGATTGCTTGAGCCCAGGAGTTTGAGGTTGCTGTGAGCTATGATGATGCCACTGCATTGTAGCCTGGGCAACAGAGGAGACTCTGTCTCAAAATAAATAAACAAATAAATAATAAAAAAAGAATTGCAAGAAGGATTTCCATTAGCCACGATATTTCAGTGGATGGGTGGGTGGGCGAAGTATGGAGGGAGAAGGATAAATGGAAACCAGTTTAGTC